CGTGTACGATCCGGGTTCCTACTCGAACTGGAGAGAATGAACTGTTCCCTTTGCCGCCACTAAGATGAACAATGGATAGTTGGGCCCAGAGCGAGGTCAGACCAGCGACTGGGTGTGTTAGGCCGACCACGTTGCAAACAAGATCACTATCACTGGGTTACCCGCTTCCTTCTTATAGTTAGAAATTAGAATGTTACGACGTCATAGTAGCATTTTCCAAAATCTGGAGTAGTCATGAATTTATCCTATCTTCATAAGTAATGGCCTGAAAAACTGAATAATCGCTCAAACCGTTAAAAGCGGTATACATATTTCGCTTACTAACATAGAACACATACTAATGCGCGTCAGAAAACAAATGGTGGCATCTGAGAATTAAGTGATGTTTACGATGTCACTGTGCATCACGCGAGCGATGTTTACCGGATCATCCGATCCCAAGAGATTTGCGCTTAACTAGCAAAGAACTTTCATACAAATATCCTCGTTACTCCACTTGAGATCAAGTATCGGTGTTTCATTATCATTATCATTATCATTATTATTACTATTATTACCACTATTATTATTATTATTAATACGTTAACGAGTTCCCTTGGGGAACCGTCTCATCTTCGCTGGGAGGTGCTCCTGCGTGTCGGGTTGCGATGTAGAGCCGGGGTCCATCAGGAAGCCTAGCTAAGAGTGAACTAGTACCACGATCCATTACCGTCCTGGCATGAAACTAATCGCATGGTGGCAAATCCCCCTCTGACCAACAAGGGCGGCGACTGACTGCGGTGGTGAAGCCCTGAGCAAGACTTTGAATAGACTGCCCTCAGGATAGCAGGGAACCACAATGGCTAAACCAGCAAAACTCCGAAAAAATAAAGATTATGATGGGGCCCGTACAAGCAGTGAGGACAGACCATTCAAGTATCCCAAGTAAGTAAGTATTACTATTACTATCAACACCATGTTTTACCTTTTATTTTCTGCCTACTGCAATTTTCACGGCAGGGCACTAAGCGAAATACAACCAAAACGTTGCTGAGATATTTGCAAAACTCTGGATCAGAGGTGTCTATGGTGGAGAACTATTATTATTAACTGGGTTCAATGCCGATGTGGACTCCCCAGATCAATCCCGTTGACGGGTGATTGCTGATGGCGCTGATCGATAGAACAAGCTGAGAGACTGGTGAAACAAGGGACCCGCATGGTGTGGTGGTGAACGCGTTACTCCCCGGAAAGGACAATAGGGCGTTCGTTCCCCATTATAAACACCATTATCACCACCATTGTTATGATTGTTATTGTTATTATTACCCTTATTATTACTATTATTATCATTATTATTATTATTATTATTATTATTATTATTATTATTATATTGCACTATAAACATAAGGTTTTTAAAGTAACTAAATGCGAACATAAAACGCTCGACACAAAAAGAGTAAGAATGAACTTGGTGCGTTCTCACCTTAGGAAACCAACATGTCTCAGTTTACAGAGAACATTGTTAGAATGAAATGACAAATTCCTCTCCACCAAAGTGCAACTTTGATTTCGCGGAATCCGCGAAACGTTTCGTTTTGCGCCAAAGGCCTTATTTCCGACATGAATGCAATTTAACAACAGAAATTTCGTCCAACGGGACAAGGTGTGTCATTGGCGCTTGCGACTCTCGTGCAGGAATTTCGTAAAATTTAGCTTTAATCGTCAAATCTAAGAGTTGTATTTAATAGAAATTTCATAAATCAGTTGGAAGACAAAGCCTAGAATCTCATGTAAATCCAGAAAAAACTCAACTTCTCAAATACTCAATGAACGAAAAATTATCGTCAGTTGTCCTAAAAGCAGTTCGCCTGCCTAAACCTAAACCTAAATTTGCCTAAACAAAAAGAAAGCAAATGAAGAAAAACACAAAACGGTTAAACCATGGAGCACAACAAGAAATGATTAGATAGGGAGACCACATCATAGATGAAATAATAAATCAATTAGTAATAAATCTCCGGACTTGAAAATGCAAGCATCAGGACAACTCTGTTCTCAGTAAACTTCAACATTACATCTTCGTTGCCGAATAACACCACTTTCATGAAATTTGGTGAGGAAGGATGCATCAAAAGAAAAGTAGTCTTGAACAAGGAACTAAGTGTCGAGTAATTTACGATTGATAGTCGAAAAGATTACAACGGCAAAGTGGATGGCGATATCAGGTGCTGAGAAAGAGCAGCAGTAGGTTAGACATAATGGCGACAATCAAACGGAACAGTTCCAATGGAGACTACTGAATAACTACAGGTTAATATAACTAATAAAAACTACTACAAAAAGAGGGTGGATAACACAGTGGTAATGATGTTGATCATCACGAGCACGGCCCTGCTTCGACCCAGTTCCCGGCTCACCAAGCCTCTCATCTATCCGGGATAGGTGAATTGCTGCCGAACTTGTACGGGAAAAAACCACTCTACAATCCAAATGGGAACGCTCCAACCTGGCTATTTTAGGAATTCTGGGAGAATTGCTCGACCAGCATTCTACGAAATTCAAGATGAAAACAAAATCCTCAAAACAGTAACCGAAGCCACACGTTAAAAGTTGGAAGACCTTCGTCGATGATGGATGTGAGGAAACAAGTGGAATGGAATCCGCACACTAGATATGAAAGAAGGGTCGTACAAAGAAATTTTTAAAAAAAACTAGTAGAAATGCAAACATAATAACGAAAAGCCTTGATATCAGAGTTTACTCGCCCGTTACAAACAGTTCCTTTATCTTCAATGATGCTGAGATATTTGCAAAACTCCGGACCGCAGCTGCTTGCGGTGGGGAACGAACGCGCTATTGTCCTTTACCGGGAGTAATGCATTCGCCACCACACCATGCGGGTCCTTCGTTTCGCCTGTCTCTCAGCTAGTTCTATCGATCTTTGCCACAGCAATCACCCGTCAGCGGGAAAAAAGTTTCTTTATCAGTTTTTTTGTGATGCTTAAGAACTGATGAATCTGATTAAAACAGTAGACAACATTCAAACGGTGCTTAAAGGGCAGCACTATAACAAAGCTGTGTAGATTATATGTGAAAAAGGAGCAGTGGAGCTTAAGCATTTGATTGGCACTGTCGCTTTTCGACACTTAAATCTACGACAAAGCATATCCTGGATTTTGTCCTGCTACGTACACTTATGAAAAAATCCATATAAATGTTCGCCGATCGATCAGTGGTTCAAAAATTTCTAAATAGCTGATTTTCTTCGTATTTTTGTTGAGCAAACGCGAGGTGTTATTATTCTTTGTTCACGATTAAGTTGACGTTTCGGCGGATTTCGCCTTCCTCAGAGCCGCTTCCTGTGAGGTTTCCACTAAGTATGTCACGTAGAGACCAACCGCACAGAAATCACGTGGAAGTATAATGGACATTATGAAATCCGCCGAAACGTCAGCTTAATCGTGAACAAAGAATAATAACACCTCGCGTTTGCTCAACAAAAATACGAAGAAAATCACTTGATCAATGCCGAGGTTAATAGAAAGTCGGTCGTGGCAGTTACTAAATAGTTGAGTTGTGTCGATTTCCATTGTTCGAAAATTTAACGAAAATGGAGGGAGACCAATAAAAAAAAAACTACGAAGGGCGCTATGTGTGCAGTAGAGAGTTTGGAAACGTCATGCTAAACTTAACTGAACAAATGAACTGAACAAAGCGAAGAAAGAAAAAGCATGAGTAAAACAAAGTTACTAGATATTTGCAAAACTCCTGACTGCAGATGTCAATGCCTATTTGTGCTCCCCAGATTAATCCCGTTGACTTGTGATTGCTGATGGCAAGTGGTCGCTAGAACTAGCTGAGAGACAGGCGAAACGAAGGACCCGCATGGTGCGGTGGTGAATGCGTTACTCCCCGGAAAGGACAATAGCGCGTTCGTTCCCCACCGCAGACACCTGCGGTCCGGAGATTTTGCAAATATCTCAGCATTATACAAGTTACATTCGGCAACATACCCTGCCATTAAAAAGAATAGGCAGTAAATAAAAAGGTTAAAAAGTTACTAGAGTTACTATCGATTAGGCGACATACATAAATGTATGCTCAGCTAAGTAATAGGCAACAACCTTATTCCATAAGTATCTACGCAGCAAAATGGCAACTGACACCTCAACAGCGTCACTTGCATTCGCTTACACAACGACAGATTGAGCAGTGAACATCTTCCTGGCAAAGTTCTATTGTCATGTAGCATTGGAAAATGTAACAAGTTGATCAAAGAACGGCGAAATTGAGCAGATATGACATTAACAGAGAGCATGAAAGTCATCTGAGAAATTTAGGAATACGTAGTAATGCTAATGTAAGGCAGCTGTACACACAGGCACACAGACCAGATCAGACTAGCGCATTTCAATTATTTAAACATCAGGCACGGACAGAGCACACAAATCGTTCTATGTAATATTAGGTCTTTCCGAAATTGATGTATGTTTTGTGACATCATTCTACTTGCACGTTTTGTAGTGGTTTTTCTACAACAGCGTAATATTATATATCACTATAGGGCGCGTTTGACGCAGTGGTCGGAGGCGCCCTGCAGCACACACGTGGAATCGATCCTTGCGCCCATGGCCCACCAAGCCTACCATCCTTCCGGGGCCGGCAAATTGGCACTAGACTTGTCTGGGAAGATAGAAGCACTGGCTCGACATATCGGTAAGCCACCACGAGTCATTCTAAAGGCAAGAAATGCACTCAATCACCTCTAAACGATGCGTAACGAGGTCGAATGTATGGTGCATCCCTCAGGAAATGATCAACGCCGTGAGCTTTAGCTTTTTATAAGGGCGATTTCATGCATTTTCGCTACGTTTAGTCCAACTGTAATATAAACTGTCTTTCTGACAAATTTTGAAGATCACAGATTCACATCTCAGAACAAAAATTTCGATAACTCCACCTCTAAGAATCTAAACTGGGATATACACAGCGCAAACTTCTCGGAACATTAACCAGGTATGCGGCCAATGAATTTTAACGAACATAAAGTGCACCATTTGTTCAAAGGATTTGATGGCCACGAATTTGATTTTGATAACGAGGAAGGCGGCGGACGTCTTCGTGGTACCGACGACGATAAATTCAAGGCTTTCATGGAGGCAAGTAAATGTACAAATGTTCGAGAGATTGCAGAAAAAGTTGGTTTAATCATCTCAGCTGTTTAGAGGCAACCAAAGACACCCATAAGGATGTTGAGATATGAACAAAACTGGGAACCTCAAGTGAACTTCGAATCCGCAAGTACCCTTTCCGTGGGTTCGAATGTCATCCAATTCGCCAACCGCGGCCTCTGATTTGCTTTCTCTCAGCTGGTTTTTTGCCCTTACGGTGCAATAAACTGTTTCGGAGCATTTAAATAAGTTGGAAAATAAAAGACTCGACAAACAGATGCCTCACGAATTGGATGGAAGTCAAAGAAGTCACCGATCTGAGGCTTCGTCGGCACTTCTTCTGCATGGCACGCGACGACGCGTCGTACAACCGACGCTGAAGAAAGTGGACGAGCTTGGATACGAAACTCTGCTAGGCAGACTATGCTTTCCTGACTGTCGCCTACTGATTACCACTTGCCCAAGCATGCTTTCCGTAGGGATTACTGTATAGATTTCAATGGTTTCCATTTTGAGCAATAAAGTTTGTCCTGGGCGAAGATGTTACCTGTATCACGTGTCTAGCCGTTGATCGTCGAGCGACTCGACCGACAGCTTGTGAGCCTTCCATCTCTCACTGCCGAGTGCAACAGTAGCCTAATGGGTTCTGCTAGATCAAAGGACTCGTTGGGAATCATATCTTTTTTTCTAGAATCTTCGTGAAGAACTCTGACCACCAGGTCGGTTGTCTTCCTGCTGTGCTTTTGACATCTCGAGGAATCCAGTCGCTAACGGCTCGTGTCTATCGATTGCCGTTCATACACATTACGTGACCAACCCGCCTTATTTTCGACCGTTTGGCGTACAGAACGATACCTTGATTGCTGATCGTTTATGGAGGTTGAAGCTTGGGATCAGCTCTATCTGATGTGTGAAACGGGATACTCTAGAATCGTCATTTCGACTGCATGTTCCATAACGCCGAGTGATCTTTCATCCTATTTAGGTGGCGACCAAATTGCCGATACACACGTGAAGGCAAGAAGAATCGTGAGATCGAAAGAGATGGACTGAGTGGAGATGGACTCCGGTATTTTTTGTTCCCTTCACTATTCCATTGATGCTATTGAAAGTTCTCATGCCCCCCAAGGCGCTCGCCTCCTCCTGTTCAACTCTGAGGCTAAGCCGTCAATCATGATGACCATTCGACCTGAATAGACGCAGCTAGAGAGATCAGAGATATTCATTACTTTGAGCGTGAACGGAGCATAAGAAACCAATTCGCTCTTCCATGATGTTCATCTGAATGGCAGTAAATAATTTTGGCAGGATAGTAACACCTTGTCTAACCCCTCCGTCGACGTCGATGTTAATATGGTTGTAGAATGGTGATATGTTGGTTATGAAATTTTCTTACAGCTAGCGAAGAATCTTTATGTATTGAGCAGGAACTCGCTGACCGTTCAGAGGCTCGATGACTATTTCTACCTCAACTAAGTTAAAAGCTTTCTTTAAATTGATGAAAGCGAGACTGAGCGGTCCCTTGCACTCTCGCGATACTTCATTCAGTCTCGTTATCCTATGGATGTGGTCCATCGTACTGAATCCTTTTCGAAACTTTGCCTGCACACATGACTATCCTTCGTCAAGTGTTCTGCCAATCCTGTGTAGGATGTCTTCAGTGTAAAATTTGTAAACGATAGACACCAGCCAGATTGGGCGATTAATGGCTAAAGGATAGATCTTCTCGCCTTTGATCTATCCGTGAGAGATGCACCATACATTCGACTTCACTAATCATCGCTATAGGTGATTGAATGCATACATGGCCTAAAGAATGTCTCGTTGTGCTCTACTGATGTAGCGAGGCAGTGCTACTATACTTCCAGAGAGGTCTTGCACCAATTTGCCTACACTATAGGGATGGAAGGCTTAGTGCGCCTAAAGTGCGAGATCGAACCTATTTGTATTTCAGGAGTCCTAATCACTGTGCCACACTTTCCTTTGGGCAATAGCTGCCGATATCCTAGAGGACACCGTTCTTGAACAATAACATGGTATTGCTGGTCCTTCATTGAGTAGAGACTTTGCCTTCTGACAGATAACGTGTGAACCATGCCGGCGTGTTGATGAAGGCTGGCGGAAGGTAATATAGGTGTTTTGCTCTTATCCTCTCCGGACCAAGTGTTGTTGAGTTCATCACCGACGAACGAATTGGCTAGCGGCGAAGTGTAGCGGTTCAGATTGATGTAGAATATTAGCCACACGGGTCTTTTAGTTGTTGTATGTGTCCACTGCCTTCTTGGAAGCTGTAATTGTTCCCTCTTGACGTTGGAGTGAAACTATCTTGGCCTTATAACCGGCGAAATTCATGTGGTATTTTCGAACGCTCTTCCCATTCTCTGTAGCTTCGACCATAAATGCCTGTCTTCTCTCTTTAAGATCTTCTTTTATCGCCGTTCTGCAGTGTTTTGCAAGTTCAGACGTCAGTTGGCGGTTGCCTGCAGCTCGTGCGATTCCACGCTGGCGTGTCAACCCGATTGTTTCTGGAGACAAACGTCTGTTCGTGACTTCCGAACTCTCAACTTTCATTGCGCTAGAGGAAACATATTGAACAAGCCAGTCGTATTCCTCTTCGGTGTTACGAATATCGGCATTTACTCAACAGACGACTAATCTACTGAATAAGTTCCTGCTTATAATGGCTTTGGAACTTCATTTGCCGAACTTTACGGCATTCTCTCGTTTCCGCAAAGAAGTGGAATCTTGCGCGAAGGATGCGATGATGTGATCCCGCGTAGTATTTCAGAACAACAACGAAATCGGTTGAACAAAACCTATTTATTATTGTGTGGTCTAATTCACTATAATACTCTCCACTCAGAGAACCCCATGTCCAAGGTTGAAAGTAGAACTTCTGAAATTGTGAGCTACTATCAATAATCTTAGTCGTTATGATAAACAGACAGACATTCACCTTGCCCATTCCATTGTAAATCGCGAGTCCCAATGTTGCATTCTTCGAACGTTCTTCTTGGCCCAATCTATGGGCTAAAATCTTCACTGATCACCTTAAAGAATGTATGGCTTTTTCTGTAAAACTCCAAGTCCATTCATAAATAGCACTGAATGAGCGGTGTCTTCTCTTTTCAGTCAGCAGCTCTATGACGTTGCACTCCATCCTTCTTGTCTGCACGATTCAAGTCTTCTATGACGGACTCAGATGCAAGTGAGTGTCCACTGCAAGTACAAATCGTCACGATAGTACTTCGAGATTTATATAGCTTAGAATACCGTTTATTTTTAGGAGCTTCTTAGCACTCTTCCTACTCAACGCCACACTATCGGGATCGCTTTCGGGATTAGAGCAATAAGGCCCACTTATCCTACTAGGTTTAACATGTGATACTTACGTATAACTGCTGAGCGCTGAAAATGGGGGCGGTAGCTTACTGGTCTCTCTCAGAGTAGACGGGGAGCTTGTTTGTTGGAGGCGACTCCTAACTGCCACCCATATACTTCCCTGTCACTTGATTGCAGCCGAATTGATTCCTAGGATACAATCCGCATAAGCGATAATACACCCACATACATACATAGATATGCTTTCGTAAACACAGAAAGCATGTGTCGACTCGGCGCAACAGAAACGAGGAATCCATCCCTGAAATATCCATCTTCGTCTTAAGAAAGCATGAGGTAGCTTTTGGCCTCCGATAAACTTATACGCCAACTTGAGGACGCTCCAGCTTGGCTCGCCATTAACCGGCAGGGGATCCCTCTATGAGGTGGGTATATTCGTGATGAGATATCCCGCCTTCAAAATACAGATTGAAATCGGACATTAATTCCGGAAAGACCTAGTAGGTTAAAAGGATAATAAAGTTGACCTACCCGATGAAGCATGAAGGATAAATGACAATCCCTAAGGGCTGCGCCATCCATTCTACCCCATTCGTTGCACTTATTGTAGAGGTGATTGACTGCATATTTGGTCTATGCAATGTCTTTTGGAGGCCTATCAATGTGTCAAGTGTTTTCTTTGATTCTCTAAGTAGTCTCGCACCGATTTGCAGATGACGAACGATAAGGTCTTGCCCAAACCGACGGAGGGCATCGGATCAAACTTTCTGTTCAATGATGTGTTGTAGAGCAACTCTAACCACTGCGCATACCCATTTTTAGCGTAGCGGTAAGAATTTTTATTGCCTCAACAGAATAGGACTAATTTGGAACATTTTTTGAAAGGATATATTCTCTTACTTCGCTTATTTTTGATTCTCATATCTTGCTTAATTAACTTCATGAATAAGCATGCATGTATGACGTTTTAGTCTGAGACGAAAGAAGTAAGGGGAGAAGAATATAATAGTACTAACCGCTGGTGCGAAACGGTTAGCAAAGAAAGGTGCTAATAAGTGCATAAATAGGAGTGATTTCTATTAAACTCATATCATAGTGATGGCTTTTGAAAACATAGTTATTAGAGGGTTTTATTAGAGGGTTTATCACAGGGGTTAAATTTTTAGCAAAACTGATGAATTGCGAGAAATATAGAAGCGTTGTTTAAAAAAAGACAGTGAAAATATTAGATGGAAACCAGCAGAACTAGAATACAGCGTCTGTAAAGTAGATAATGCCTGCTACATGGTTAGCAAACGGAATGAGTTTCGTTGCTTTCCTTCGTCCATCGACAGTGCCGAAATGAACATATACTTATTTAACAGTTGATAGTTGAATGGCCCGACCTCACTGGTTGTGCGGGCCCCAGCATGATCTCCATTTTTCGGAGATTTGCTGGTTAACCCACTGTGGTTCCCTGGAATCGCGAGGTCAGTCTGACCAAAGTCTGCCCCAGGTCTTCACCACCACATGCGGTCGCAACCCTTGTGGATCAGAGGGAGATTTACCACCATGCGACTTTAATACCAGGACGGTGGTGGATCCTGGTATAGGTTTACCCTTAGCTAGGCTTGCTGATGGAAACACCGGACTCCTTTTCACCTTGGAGACCTTGCCAAGGGATGAATCCCTCGCTGTACAACGCAGTCCGACACCCAGAAACATCTCCCAAC